AACAGAAGGTTGGTAGTCCAATGGTCTTAAAAGCTCTTCACACAAGTACTTTAGCTTGGTCTTGCAACCCAGGTTCCAAGGCCAGCATAAAAGTATTTAAGCTTGGTGTTGCCATTAAGTCCACATGCCACCTAATGTGATCCTGTAGTCCCTCGGGATGTTTTAACTGTTGGCATGGTCTTACAGGGGTGGGTGTGCACGGTTCTGGGTTTTACCTCCGAGCACTAGTGGCGGGCTCCGCCCTTGCAAGGTGGATGGGTTCACTAGTATACATGGGTGTTCCTAGATTAGAAAAACACATTTTATGAATGAAGTTGGCACAATATGTGAATGGTAAAAGTTATGTTGCTGTTATTTTTGTTTATTATCAGTAAAAATAGTAATTTTGCGAGGGGCTGTCCATATATGTGCAGCTGTGATGCTATCAGATGGATTCAAATATCTAAAAGAAAACTGCCCGTCGCTTCAGTCAGAACTTCTGAAGACAGTGGCTGGCTGTGAGGAAGTTGATGGTTGCAGCAGTGGAGCTGGGAAGTCTCGTAGTGTTTGGGCACAGCTTTCTGACAGTGGTGGGGATACTGATGGCAGGAGGGTACGGCAAAGGACCTGACTTATGATCCTGTAGTTTTTCTACTACCACAGCAATGATCTGTTATAGTAGAATGGACGTGTAAAACCACCAAAACAGTGTTACATAACAAAAAATATTCCACCATCCTCGTATGTTCAGAAAATGTTTGTTTGTAATGATAGTTAGAGCCGCACCCCACCCTCTACATGTTAATATCACAAAAGCATGTTCAACACGATGTCAAACAACATTTTTCTGGGTTTAAATTGAAACACTTTTTGTCCCTCAGTTCATCGATTCAGCAAGGTAGCCACAAGGTTCTCACTAACATTGAACATGAGACTCTTGTGAGTTGAGAGATGTATATAGGGGTGGACCGGGACCAGGCCGGGGTGGGCTTCGGGCCGGGACTGGGCGGGCGCGGGCTTCAGGATTCCAGGCTCGGTACTGGCTCGGTTTTGTATCAAGCCAGGCCTGAACAGTACTGGGTTGGGCCAGGCTTTGGGATGGGACTGTAATAATTAAAAAAATGGTGCAATCGAGCTTGGGACCGGTCGGGTTGGGCCCTAAAAATTGAGCCCAAAGACTGCCCTTATAGCCACTAGGCCGGGCCCCGGGCCGGGGCCGAGCTTATACACTAGCAGGCCGGGTGGGTCAAAACAATACTGGGCCTAGGTCAGGCGACCCGTCCCAGTCCATCCCTAGATGAATTTGCCTAGGGGATGCGAGAAAAAAACATAACAAAAAATTGACTTGTAACTTAGTAAGTAGTAACTAGTAACCCACTTTGCCTACATTTTATTTGACTGTTAAATTTGGATTCGGAATAATGCTACTAGAAAGGAGAAACTACTGATCTTGAGCTTTTAATTCTCTTTCTCGAGTACATTTTGGACTCTGATAGACCCTTTACCTTTAGGCTCATTTGGCTAACTCAGAACATCTCCAATGTTACAATGTGCACAATTGCACATGTAGCATGAGAGAGATAGACACAAAATTGAATTTATGACATTTCTCTCACATTCTTTCCACGGTTTTATTTGTTTTTGGTAAGTTTTCCTCTGCAATGTCAAGCACAATGTCTACATCTAGACATTGTGCTTGACATTGTGAAGACAAACTTACCAAAATGATACAAGATCATTCAAATAAGGAGAGAGATATTCCATTTATTATTTTTTAATTGGCTATCTCTCATGCCACGTATGCACCGTTCACGTTTTACCATTGAAGATGCTCTCAGTTTTCCTTTTTCTTTCCTGACTATTATTTTGTTTCATCATAAAAGAAGAAATATTAGAAAGTTAACTAGGGAACTAACATATAAGGATATTTTCTCAACATATTCACCAAGATTTAGAGATCATTTGGTAATATTGGAAGTAAGAATGGCTAAATATGTTGAAATTGGTGATTTTCTAATTGAATCAATTGAATTAGTTGAATATATTGAACTATAAAAAATTATACTACGTATTTAAAATGTATTTTAATAATAAAATAAAAATACAACAACATCCGAGCCAATGTGTAAAATAAAGAAAATATTATATGAAAACTGAAATAGGTGTATTCAACAAATTTAATCAATCCGACCAAAAAAAATAATTGTAACGTTATTTATTTTGATTATTTCACTATTTAATGTGTGAAATAAAAAATTACGTATTTGATTAAAAAAAAAGTTGACTAATAAGAATGATAATCCGAAAGCATGTGCTACCAAACAGGCTCTTATTTTTTTTAAATACAACTAATATGAAAGTGTTGCAATCATACTACCCCGAGTACGTATATTATACAACCGGCTGTACGGTGAGCACTGTACAGCCGGCCCAGTAACAGGTCAAAGGGAAAAATAGCAAAATAATTCGGTGGCATTTTTGTAATTAATGTGAAAATCGCGATTTCTGCTAAATGAGCATTAGTCTACTGTTAATGAGCAATAGTCCACTTTTAATGAGTATTAAGCGTCCAATAATGAGCACCGTGTTATTACAAGAAAGTTGATATCACAACTAAAAAACGGTGGCATTTTCGTAATTTCAGTGAAAATCGCGATTTTCGTTAGATGAGCATTAATAAACTTTTAATGAACATCAAATGTATTCTACTGAGCATTAAGAGTTAAATAATGAGTATTGTAACATCAACTCCATACTTCTTATATTGTAATTTATTTTCTTTTTCTTATTTTTTTCTTTTATAAAACTCATTAAATTATATCTATAATCAATTCCTATGAATTCAAAACAACGCCCATATTATGCTCATTTTTAATTTGTCATAATGCATTTTTAAATTGTTATGACAATTTAAAAATGAGCATAACATGGGCATAAAATGAGTATTGCATCAACAACAAATGAGTCTACATAACTTATGAAATGAGCACCGATAATTAAAAAAAAATCATTTCACTGAGTGAGCATCGTGACTTATTTCACTGAGTATTAGAAGTCAAGTACTGAACATCGTGATTTCTGCTTCATACATTGTACTTGTAATTCACTTGTTTTTTTTTTTACTTTCTAAAATGTTTATAATGAACCCGTATGAATCCAATATGCGAATCTAGCGTAATATTCTATTTTTGAAATATGAATGAATATGACATTTTAAAATGAGCCATACACCAACATGGCGGCAACACCAAATGAGCATACATAACTTACTAAATGAGCATCGAAAAATTCAAAAAAATCATTTAAATCTTTAGTGTGCTCAATTATTGAATGAGCATACACAGCTTACAAAATGAGCATCAGAAAATTTAAAATGAGCATTACACCAATATGCATGAATATGATATTTTAAAATGAGTATTACATCAATATTAAATGCAATTTACGAAATGAGTATCGAAAATTCAAAAATCTTTAATATGCTCAAATGTTAATTCATATGAGTATAACATAAATAAAGAAGCACCATCCACAAATGAAATTGCAGTAATCAGCAAAAAACATGGAATCCCAAATAGCAATTAGTCCAATCCGGCTTTTCTAGTTACCCAACGATCCAGCCCCTGTCTAGCGTAGCCCAAACCCTTGTGTTTACAGAACACCAAAAAAATCAAGAATAACCAGCTCAATTATGCACTTCTCTTCCCAGCTAGGTTCCAGATGCTAGCAATAGTCAAACAAAGCGGAAGAATTCCTAATTTTAGGGGTGGTCAAGAAAGAAGGAGAATTCCCAAATCGAAGTACATCAATATATAAGTGGTCTATCAGACGCATCACCCCAGTCTTCTTCTCCAACGTAACTCTCCTGTAAGAAGGTCGCAGCAAGATGAAGATGTCCGCAGCAAGGTGTCCGGCAAAACTTCATCGAATAGAAAACACAGCTTGCCCCGATAATAACCCTTGATTCAGCAAAATATTACAAAAATACCCGACTGTACCAAGCACATGGTACAACCGGTTGTAGGATATAATTTACCTGCTACCCCAATCCTTGCAACACCTTAAAACTAAACAAATGCGCATCCACTAATCACTGAAGTTACCACTACTCTCAGTTAGTGTCTCCCATCAGAGGGAAATAGGGATGGGACGTGTCGGCCTGACCCAAGCCCAATCCAGTACAATTTAGCCCCAGCCCGTTACTGTATAGGCCCGATTCCGTCCCGCGGCCCGTCCTGGTGGCTATAAGGGCGGGCTTTGGGCTCATTTTTTCGACCCGACCCGAATCCAAACCTGACTGCACTATTTTGTACTCCCTCCGTCCCAGAATTAACTTCGGTTTTGACTGGACACAGAGATTAAGAAAGTGGAAAATGTGTGGTGGAGAGTTGTGCAGAGGAGAGAGAAATGTGTAAGAATGGTTGTGAACCACAAATCCTTTACTAAAAAGGGAAAGAGGAGATAAATTTGGGACGGACCAAAAAGGAAAGAATGAAGATAATTATGGGACGGAGGTAGTAATTGAATGCCCAGTCCTGTCCCAAAGCCCGACCCGGTACTGTTTGGGCCTGGTCCTGGTACAAACTGGGGCCGGTACCGGGCCTGAACTCCTTAAGCCCGAAGCCCGGTCCCGTCCCAGTCCATCCCTAGTGGGAACTGGGAAACATCACCGCTGCTCACATCAAAATCCATCAAACACCACTCCTGTGGACATCTACCTTAGCAAACCTCACGGTCAATAAGGCAAAAACATTCACCTTCATTGTCCATCACAAAATATATATGAGATAATTTCCATAAGAAGAAATGAACGATGTGCATGAATCACGAAGAAGACACGTTATGGGGAGGAAAATTCCGATGAATTCTTATAAACAAATCTGTATTTTATGCCTTCCATATCTGGGATGGCATCATGAAGAATAAGATATGCATGAATTGTCTACGGAACATTCTGGAGATGACAACACAATCACATGTGAGCCACACAAGCAGATATGACTATAATAGTGAGCTGGGAAGGAAAGAGAACGAGTGCTTTAATTTGCTACTAACAACATCAGATAAAAATAAAATCCCATTTGGATTGCTCTACAAAGCAAAGCTGAGTTCATCACCAAAATGATAGGCACAACAATCTTAGTTTTCAAAAGTAAAGTTTTATGGAAATGACTAAGAATCGAAAAACAATCAGTTGCAGGTTTGACACCATACAGCTTTTCAGTTTTTGATGTCTGCAAAGAACCAATACAACTAAAAAGAAAAAGAAGCAGGTCACACAATGTATCAGCTGATAAAAATGTTCTATTTTTTCTGTAAGGTGGCCAGTCATTCAGAAGGAAAAGCTGGGAATCTGAATTGATAATTTTTTCCTCCAGAAATGAAGGGGAAAGGATTACACGGTGGACATGGCATCCCATGGGCAAGGACAAGCTCCTGACGGAGTGGCCATGGATCTTAAGTTCTTGCATTCCCTGCTAAGATCATCAAACAGAACTGCCCCAAATACCTCTTTCAGTACAGAATGATTCTTATTGTGGTGGTTTGTTTGATGGCGAAAAGCGTTTGAAGCAAGCAAGTCTGTCCTGGAAAACATATACTGGTTTGATTCATCATACGAAATCGGGGGAGACCACTCCATCTCCTCCTCCACCTCCTCCTTAACTTTCAATCCTACAAAACCATAGTGGAGTAGAATCATCAGAAGATTCACAGCACAGTTTGCATCTACAAGAGAAACAATGACAAAAGAGACTAGCCTATTAATTAATTAGAAAATTGATTGAGACTATTGGGATGGCTTATGCTATAAATTCTTTTATAAGAGGTGCTTTCTCATCTAAGCACTAAACGTGCTTCTATGCTATTATAAGAGATCCTTTCTCATTTCAGCACTTAAAGTGCTTCTGCTTTTTGAAGAAGAAGAAAATTACCAGCCCTGTATTTCTTAAATAAGCACAAAAAATGTGTTTCTTTTATCACTAAAGCACTTAAAAAAGAGTAAAAGTTCTTATCTTCTTTCAAAAAGCACATATTCTTTGAATATAAGTCGTCGCATAGACACACATACTCACCTATTGCAGTCCCAGCTGAGTGTGGCTTGTCTGCATTGACAGGGGGGGTGTATTCACTAAACACAGAAGCAGATGAGTGGCCTAAAGGGGAGATTGGATCTCCATATGCTTCCCATCCTGTCGTCTCATTAAGATTGGAGCGTAACTTATTAGTATCAAATATGGTACTACCAGGGGGAACATCAGAAGTCTGTTGGTATGAAGTAGGAGTAGTATGATTGTTGTAATTCTTTGTGTGTGACTCATAAAGCACAGCATCCAACAGGCCACTGTTTCGTGGGGAAGGACTCCTTGTTTCAATTGAAGGGGGTGATTGAATCAAGGTGTCAACAATGGTGTCTGGTGATGAGTACCAGCTACCCATGTGACTTTGGAGTGAAGGGAGCTCCAGCTTCTTATCCCATGAGGAGGGCTCAGGAGAAGAAGAACAGGAGTTGCCATTTAATGAGGCATGGCTGCCTGGAATAACACCACCCAACAACAATGGATGGTGGTGACCAGAAGAAGAAGAAAGCACCCCAAAAGAAGATCCATGATCAAAATAATATGGGGAAATGCTACTCTGCTGGTAGGGACCGCATGCTGGTAGAAGATCACTGTTTGCACCTGGGAACAATGAAGCGGTCTCTGTTCCTCCTCTGAAACGTTTGAAAGGATGAACCGCAGATGAGATGAAATGCCTGTCAATGCACGAGGACTTGAGACCTTGTCCCAGCAGGTTGTTATCAAGGATTACAGGTGGTGGGTATGAATGCTGATGATTTAGTCCCAGGTTTTTGAATTCCACAGCTGGAATGTCAGAAGTGTTCATATGTAATATGTCTTCATTTGTAATTCCACCTGAAAATGTGCCCTGCATTCCTGCACTTATGGTTTTCAAACAGAGATCTGAAGGATAAATGGGCAGGCCAGCACGCTGTCTTCTCTTGATTCTTGTGTTCCAGTAGTTCTTTATCTCATTATCAGTACGACCGGGAAGCTTAAGGAGAAAATTAAAAAGCTAAGTGAGTGATAGTAGACCCTTTGGTAGAAAAGATACCAGCTCAAATCCCATTTTGTGTTTGGCAGTTTGGCTCATGCAACTGAGGCAGGACTCAAACACTTCACAACTTGAATTGTATAGCACTTCGCCAAAAAGTCACGTTTCAACAGCTAATTTTGCCCAAAAAATGTCTTATTTCATAAAAAGCTATTTTTCATGAAACTTTAGAAAATGATACAAACCAGGAAAATAAATTAATCTAATTAAATTAAAAATAAAGTTTACATAACGTACACATTTACCTTGTTGAAATAAAACAGTTATACCGTGACCAACCATGTTTTTTTGGACAGAAAATATTTTATAATGACAATATATTTTGTGTGTGTCTACACACATGTATGTATGTATCTATGTGTGTGTGCACAAGCACACCCGTTTACCTTTCAAAGAGATGATAATAGAAGTCCCATAAAATGTAAAAAAGTGACATGATAGATGAAAAGATATATTGAGAAAGATGTTAGAGTTCAAATGAGGAAAGTTCACATAATTTTGGGGCACACCAGAAAGAAAATTGCATCTAACGAAATAATAGAGATGAAGTGGATAAGTTTTCAATGATACCACTCCATGGATGACACTACTTTTTACCTAAACAATAAAGATTTCACACAAATTTTGATTATGATCATTCTGGATTGCCTAAATGATTGTGTATGTGGGTGTACAGATTTACCAAATCAATGTTGTAGCAAGTGCGCACACACACACAAACATGTAAAGTTATATTAAATAAATACTACGTATAAAATTATAAGAAACATTTTAAAAACAAGAAAAGAAAAATTAGTTCGACATATGAGTAAACAAAGCAGGTCAAATGTGAGAAAAAATTGCGAGTATCTAGTCCTCAATTCTAGCCTATGTTTTATCCGAAAACTATAGTGATTTTGAACTTAGCAAATGAGAACATTCTCCTTTTCTCTCCCTCGCTCTATTTCTTTCCATTCTTATAGCTTTGGGAAAAATAAATACAATGGTGGGGATACACGTCCACACTATTTCACTTATTTTCATCAAAGCCATACTATTAGAGGAATATTGAGTAAAGAGAAGCAATGGCCAAAAACGAACATAAATGCTGAATGTATCACTGATTATTTATATCATATTTCGTAATGAAGAGGTTAATATTTGGTCATTTGGAAATGAGTTCAGAGCAAGAAGTTTTAATAGCATAGCTTCATAAGAGGGGGGATGGGTCGATCACTGAGGAAGCAATTAAGCTGTTTGACTCATTCAACCATATGCACGAGCATTACAACAAATTCAACAATGAATAGTGGTTCTAAAACTTAGCAAAATCACCATCCTTATAATTTAATATAGAAATTCAAATATACAAGCAACAGCAAGTACTGATATCTCAATCTTGTTTATGTGGCATTCTTTACTAACGTACAGTGAGAGGATGATTTTTTAAAAAATTGGGTAAAAATGTATGCCAACAACATATACTTAATTAAAGGAGAGTAGGGCAAATCTCTATAATTTTATCCAATAAATAATACATAGTATATAATAATCATTCCTCGTGCTACTTTATTGACTTATTATTCATTAATCATTCTTCCTAAATTGTAAAACCTACAGATTATTTTATATTAGAGGAACCGCTGAGGTTTCAAATAGATTTTTACTAAAACCTGGACTTGACTACAAATATACACAGACATGTCAATTGATTAAAAGAGAGAGAGTATCCATACCTCAGCAGCCATTCGTGCCCATTTGTTTCCCATTTTAGCATGGAGTTCAATAATACGCCGCTCTTCCTCAGGAGTAAAAGCGCCTTTCTTTAAATCGGGTCTCAAGTGATTCGCCCACCGCAAACGACAGCTCTTACCACATCGAGCAAGTCCTGAATTCTTTTGCACAGCATTCCAGTTTCCTTCGCCGTTTCTTGTTACGTAATCAACCAAAATCGCATCTTCTGTGGATGTCCATGGACCTTTCTTCAGCGGAACAGTTCCCCCTCCAGCACTTGCTTCTTCAATAGATGCAGAACTTATGCTGCCTTTTGAAGTCATCATTTCCTCACTTTCACTGGTCATGCTCATCCTGGTACCTAGCTAGAACAAGAATAGGTAATTAATTCCACAAAAGAAAAAGGTAATTCGGAGACAGAAATAACACTGATATGCTTCCTTTGAGGGGCACCTTTCCAATTGTAGTAATCTCGTTTAAGTTGATATGTTCAATTCTCATCCATATATAGCAATAAATAGCCGGCGCAAGAATTGGTCAATGGTGGTCAGAGAAAACACATTTTTTAGATCCACAACGGCAACCCGCTCATCCAACACGTGACACAAAGTACTATGTGGAATGAGTTTGAAGATGCCGACAAATTTGGAAACGTTATCACAACAATAATTGTTGTTTAGCAACCGGCGTGAAAATGTAATATTCTTGACTTGACAACGGAAAGAAAAAGGAGCGCAAATTTGAACACCTTTAAGCGAAAGGATACTAATTTTTTTCCCATGGTTTAGTATTAGAAAGCAGTGTCCAAATAATTAGAGACTTGAAAACCACCTAATATTAAGCACATCAATTTGAGAGATATAAAACAATGGGGATGAGAGACCAACTATGCACAACACACACCTAGTTACCTTTAAGGTTGGCACTCATGGACCTAAGAAGAAAAGAAACACCCAAAAGCTCTTGTGGTTCAGATACAACAAAATACAAAATGCTAGCCATAATACTAAAACTAAACAGAGATTGTGCTTCTAAGGCCATGCATCAATTTCTATTGAGCACAACTGAAAATAAAGAATTAAAAAAGGTGAAGTGTTCATAAGCCAGCCAACACCGCGCAAATTAGAGGTGCAAATAGATCTCAAAGATTAACTTCATGATTCAAAAAATAAACTCATGCAATATTCCCACAATCGAGCATCAATAACAACAATTTGTTACCTGAGTGAAGAAAGCTGTTTGGAGCAAGACAGGGAGCAGCCACTGAGATCAGTCCTTCAAAAGCTCAGAAAAATCCAATCAAAATAAACCGACGAGTCCCCGACAGGCTAAATCCCCTCCGACATGAAAAGCTACCCAAAATGTCAAAAACAGAAATGAAGAAAATGGCACCCCCTAAGCAAACATTCCAAACCCTATAAGTCACAAAAATCTATATGTGTATATACGCATCACACAGTGACTCCACATCAATCATGAAGATCGCGGTGCTGGAGCTCAGAACCACGAAAGAACACGCACAGGAAGCGGGAGCGAAATGCGTTCTATGTACATAAATTATCAGCTTCCAGAAGAAATGAAAACAATACAAAATTTGAAGAAACAAGAAACTCAAATCCCATTATGAGCGTGAAAAGGGGGCGTGAAGAACAACAAGATCCACTTATTATTTCTCAGAGCTTGAGGAGAGAGAGAGAGGGGCGGTGAAGAAACCTCAGCTGATCAAATCAGAGAGAAAGAGACGGAGTAGGTGGCATGATCCCAGCTGAAAGAAATCAAGTTACAGTGCTTTTATTAATTAACATTCTTATTAGTATAATAAATACAGAACTGGATCATTTAATGTTTAATCATTTTGATAATGATTTCATTAAATAGCCGTTTTTTGCACATTCCCAGATGCTGCCTTTTAACTAAAAAAATTGTGAAAGTACGTAAGATTCGTGCACCGAAGTGTTTTCTTCAATTTAATCTCTTCCGTGCACGTACTTAAGAGCAAATGCACTCAGTCCCGTTCGTTTGTTTAAGCTAGTTTATGGTGAGGTACTTGCCAAATAGAGGAATTGTGATGTGAGGTTGCTATCCAAAAATGTATATCATCTTTGCAAGTATTTAAATAGGAGTCTTACTTACTATCTGTCAGTTTATGATTAAAGTCTAATTTGCATCTACTTAGCTAATTGTTCGACTCGTGTTATAGAGCCTTCAAAGAGGGGTGTCATCCTTTTTTAAGCCAGCCTCTCATTGTTGCAAGAGTTGAAATGTCAATCCTAAGAGCTCAATCTGACAGAGCATATTGATAAAGGTTATTAATCATGACAACTCACCTAGATATAGAGATTAAATCAAATACAGAAAGATGTAAACTTTCAATTAATTTGAACAACTTGTTCTTATAGAAAAAACCATCCATTGAATCATACCTATGATTCCACTAAATGATCACCTTAGATAACCTCATTGTTAGAAATGGATCCATCATTATCACATTGGAGCTGAGTATTATTCTTATGGGTATTACAGGCTAACTCCTACATCAATGCTCAAGATGAATGTTGACACGCGTTAGTCACTTGATGTAAATTATAATCCAATATATTATGATTTATCTTGTGTATCATGTTTGTTTATAACTAAGTTGTAACATAGAAGTATGTGAAGTTTGATATATACAGGTGATTAACGTTGAGAATTTAAATATGCACTAAGAGAATGAACATACAAGTACTGATGATAGAATCATGGGAACATATCTACTCTTGTAAATGTGGTGCGTGTGTGCTGTTACAGACGTCAATGATTTCTCTTTAGGTGAACGTGAGTAGTACCAGGACCCATACATGGATAAAATCACACTCATATATATGGGCGATTATCATTGAGCATTTAAACTGTGTACTAAAAGAATAAACATGCAAAAGTTGAACATGGAACATATCTACTCTTGTAAATGCGGTGTGTTAATGAGTTTTCTTTAGATGCACGTGAATCATTACATGACTCATACATAGATAAAATCACAAATTCAATGACATAGGAGTGAAGTATATTTAGGAGTAAAGTATATTTAGTGATTGATATATTATGGAATAGAGTATTGGTTAATGTTTAATTCTTGTGCATTTTTCAATTCTTATAGACTAGAAAAATCCTGCCGTTTTCATAATCAATCCTATTTTATCATTTTAAAGTTCAAGTTTAAAGCAATATTTGCCTCTACATTGAAAAAGTATTTTACCACTAATTTACTCACATTTCAAAACTAGTATAAGTTCAAGATTAACTTGATCATATATATCATCAAAAGAGTGAATCAAGTTATTGTTAAGTTCTCTACATAATATACTTTTTTATTCATTCCAAATTTATTATGCATTTCCTTTTATAATCTATATGCAAACTTCTGTCCACATTAATTCTCTATCGTCTAAATAAATCCCAAATAAATGTTTTTTAGTTTCTTAAACTTCTGGCTTGGTAAAAGTGCAAATTTTTAATAAGTTCATAAGATAATTATGTGTTGAGAATTGGTATGTACTTTTATTAAACTTATTCTTTTTTTTTCATATATGTTGCACTAACTTGAGACATGAGAAATAAACATACACATAAAGGAAAGTATAATTGTGGTTTTATATTAAATTCGTAGAGTAAAATGTTTTTTTCATACGGTTATTAGTAAATATAATATGAATCAGACATAGTAAGAAAGAAGGAAAGAAAGAGAAAGCAATAATATCGAGTTAGATGGATTGAAGTGGTATCTATTGTTTATTTAGTCGAAATGAGACTAGACAACAAACATTCATATCAACTCTAGTAAATTGTATCATATGATGTTATGCTTCAAATGTAAATAATTATATAAGATAACATGTACCAACATCAAACAAGATTTAGTGGGATCAAACCAAAGACGTTGATACCCGGTCAAATCGGAGTAAATAAAATTGGACAAGATTTAAACATATTCATTCGAAATTTGTTCATGATTAATAAAAATTTTCAATTTCTGATGAGTATTTGTGGGCTTGAATTAATCTGGGGCCACCTTCTCAGCATATAAGGATTTTAAGAGTGCCTCAAACGCAGACTTACCTTTCGTAGTCTTTTAGGAACTTGATTTTTCCTATAAAAATCGATGACACGTTTAAGAAAATGGTTATCGTTGAGGTGAATATATTTTGCAGCAGGGCGAGTATGGTTATAACCACCCCCAACTTACCAACTGACATCTCTATTAATGATGCTCAACCCCACTTATCAAGCATATGTTAATCTAATACTCTTATGCACATGATTCTAAAAAACTAAACTCTCACTTTGGTTTGCACTCCTTCAGGTGATTTCCCTTGTTATTCATTCTTTTTTCATATAGTTCATCAACTGACGTGAATCCACGGTATGATGCTAAGAGAACTCACAAATAACAAGAGCATTAAAGAATTTCATATTACATCCGGCCCATTGGACTTTGCCAATTTTATGTTGAGTGTGAAATAAGAAAATTAAAAATTATGTGATTGAGATTTGGACAGAAGAGCGAGAAACAAGTTGAACCACAAGTTCATTACTTTAAAAAGAATGTGGTAAAGTTTTTAGGTCAAATAAAAAATTAAAATTAAAAAAGTCTAATGGGATAGAGAGAATATATGAGACACTATTTCACTAAAGGTCATTATACCCTCAAAATTCATGAAGTCCAAAAGAGGAAGAAACAACATCCTAAGACATCTTATTTGACTCCAAAACGGTGATAATACTCATGAGTGAAATCTGTTTTCACCTTGAAAATTTAAATTTTAATTAAGTAGTTTTAAAAACTCGTTTGCGCTCTAAAATGTGTTTATTTTTTTCATTGTAATGTCATCTTATAATGTACTTTCATAATTTATATGCTACCGAGTATGTTTACAGCTTGCAATATACTAAATTTGGTATTAAGTTATTATCATTTCTGTTCTTACTATAAAGGTATATGCAAGATTATGTGAGTGATATCTAAACAGAAAAGTTATTCAATTTATTTTGAGATTATAATCATACCATCCATTTTTATTTTGTGTTGGTATTTTTTCAATTGATCTATCAATAAAAATGTTATCACCAAATTTTTATCCAACTGCTGACTATGTAAGAGAACACTAGTTAAATATAAGAATTGTTTAAATTGATGTCAGTGCCGATCGTACATAAACTTGAGCCAGAGTCGAGTTTTATAAAAGACTCCTATATGTAGTACTCTCAACTTGTTTGTGATTTGTAATATAACATATTTGGAAATAAGTGATTAATACTGCAAATACTTCACACTTAAATAAAATTCTTACATTATAACATAACGACTGAATTTATTTAAAAACCTGATTAAGTACAATTAGCTGAACAATTTTAGACGCAGAAGTATTATTCAATTCGGCATGACCTAGGTCTTCAATAAATTTCCTTTCAACTGATAACATAGACAATTCACTCAACCCTTTTTAGACATGGTTGATCGTGAAAATGTTTCTATAAGTTTGGTTTTGAGAAACTTTTTTGCACTGACTATTGTCACGAGTATAGTCGAAAAGATTTAATATGCAATGCGTGCATCACGAAGCATACACCCATTCTTTTTCAAATAATCCATCACATCGATCTTTGATTTTGATTCCCTAGGCAAAGAATACTTTAAACAGTGAAGAATTTTACATTTTTGTACGAATACAAAGCATTGTATATAGTTTGATTAATGGTGATTTGAAAATTCCACAATTTTTAATCACTGCACGATAACCTCAAATAAAAAATAGATCTCAATTCTCATATGTAAAATTTCACCAAGGTACGGCCCCACTTGACTACTTAATAAAAAAAGAATCGACTTGCTTATAATTTTTAAATAGCATTTGTTTATGTAAATACTTTAAATCTCAAGCAATAATATAAAAAATAGTCAATAATTATAGCAATTAGAAAATAGAAATTAATAAGTTCATTCATTCGATTATTAAAAAGTCAACAATTCATCACATTAGCGCATCAAATTAGCAAATCAATATGAAAGCTAAATTTTAAAAAACATATCAGCAAATTTGATAGTTCGGTTTGTATTTCACTACTTGGTTGATAACTATATTGTTTCGCCGATTTTGTTACTTCTATAGCGATGATTTGAAGTAGACAACCAACATAGCCCATGTTTTTTTGAATAAATGTAAACAATATAAAGGTACTTAAAATTTTGGCCCCTTGATTTTTGGGAATTTTCTATTTACACTCCACAAATATTGCTATTGACAGCCCCTCAATTAAATATTATAATTCCAATTCCTAAATTGGTCTTGACGCAGTCTCCTAACCGCTATCAACCCACTCCGCATATGACTCCTAAACGTTGTGCCTATCCTACGGTGCATAAATTTGAAAAAAATCAAATTCATTGAATTCCATTAAGATTCGATAATTGTTTACGGAAGAAAGACAAACAATTGATCAAAATCTCAAAAATAGCCATTTTTCATCTGTTTATCCTCCAGAAGGTTCAATTCAATACTTCGTATAATCATAAATTTGATCCGGATTTGTGCCGCATCAATGTTCAACATAAATTCTAATACTCAATTCAGTTAAATCTGAAGGGAATTGTGACTCTGTTGACTTCATTATGTTTTGAAGCAACTACACACAAATATCTATAATAGTGAGAAGTGAATATTGGAAGAAAATTTTCATCTTCTCCCGGGCACTCGAACTCCACCGCCCTGTCTG